ATATATATATAGTTGTTATACATTTTTTCGTGTCACATGATCCTGGTTGTTTTGATGTTTCTGTCTTGTAAACAATATTTTGTCTAAGTTTGCCCCAAATTACATGACTCCAGATGTTTTTAAAACTGCGATTTTCTGCTGCATTTACACTTCCTGTCCACACAAACAGATTTTTTTGACATAAAAATAGTGTTTTTTATGCTTTYTTTGACATCACTATGGTGTGTACACATATAAAAGATAAATGGAAATTTTGAGAAACTAAAACAACAATGGAGCCAATTTTATCATTTTTAATACATCTTTGTGTCACTAAAAACTTTCTTTGTGTGATGAAATGATTGAAATTGATAATTAAATTGTTAACAGTGTCAAAGGGAAAATAAAAACAAGCTATACTGGTTTTGGTAAAGTTTTTTTAGCCAGTCTGAGAATATTTTGTCCCTGTATTCTGATGTCGTTAATGTGGGAGTTGTCGCCAACTAGTGGCCCAGCAAAGGTAATTCTGCAGCTCTAGTAAAATGTGTGTGGACAGAAATCTTTCTGAAAATGGAATAAAAATAATCTGGTGCAGTGTAGATGGGGTTTTTTTGTTTGCTCATGCAACGCTGTGCTTTCTTTCCTCTAATATCTGTGTGCAGCTCTGGCTGTCATCAGCTAAACTCATACAACACCTGACTAACTGTAAACTTTAAACTTTGTGCGTCTCGTCCTGTCACGTGTTGGCTGTTGTCTCACGTGTTTTGAMACGATGTTGATGTGTTCTTAATGTMTGTCATGACATGTTCTTGTGACCGTTAATGCGTGTCTGTGCRTGTATGTATGTGTGGTTTAAAACACAACCTTCAGTGGGAGCGCTAATGAGTAAGTGCATTCTTCTTTCTTTATTGTTGGGTTTTATGTAAAGTTGCTCAAATGCTCTCAGGTATGGCGGCTCTAAACGGAGGCCTGGGTGGCGCAGGGCTCACCAACGGGACGGCAGGCACCATGGACGCACTGACGCAGGCTTACTCAGGAATCCAGCAGTACGCTGCCGCCGCACTGCCCACCCTCTACAGCCAGTCCCTGCTGCAGCAGCAAGGGGCCGCCGGCAGCCAAAAAGAGGGTCAGTAGCCCCGGGGCTGAAGCCTTTTTCCCTTAACATGTATTCAGTGTTGCCTGCAGGATTGTTCTGTAGAAGGGCAAGCAGACAGCAGGAGACATTCAGAGAGGTTCAAGTTCAGATCATCAGCATAGCCAGTTCTTAATTAAAAAATATTATTATGAAGTTATTTATAATATTTTATACACATTAACTATTAAAATATATATACCGCTATTTTAGGTGTTTATTGATTTATCAAACAAGTTGTTTTAGTAAAAAGAAATTGTTTGGATTTAAATTAGTCTTTTTTGTAACCTTATCTGTTTATTCTATGTCAAAACATAAAATGAGGACATATAGTGTATTTATTCATGTATAATACTAGAAATTAAACCCTATAAATCATCCAAAAAATGGGGGATAACATTATACAAGGGATATTGA